CTCTGACTTGTGCTTCATGTCTGAGGTGTCCTACCAATCTATCTCGCCTATTTCTTATTGACTTCCATAGAGTCCTCCGTTCTCCTATGCATTTTAAAACGTCTTTATTTCTAATCTTCTCTATCCACGGTATCCTCATCATCCGCCTATAACATCACATTTTGAGCGCTTCTAACCTTTTCTTTTCCGCCTCGCACACCATCCGTGTTGCGCTCCAAACATACACCTTTAACATTTTTTTTCGAATTTCTAAATTAACCGTTCGCGAGCATAGAAGTGACTTCTTTCTACTGAAAACGACTTGACCCTCTGCTATCGTTTGATTTATATCCCTACTACTCCTTCTGTCCTGACTTATCTGACTTCCTAGATACCTAAAATCAGTCACTTCTAGTTATTCATCTCCTATCTTTATATTCGCTCTTTCCCTTTTTCTTCCCTTGCATACCAGTATACATTAGTAGCCTATGGAAATGCAACAACCAAGTATTTTTTTTAGCAATTCCTTTTTCTTTCTGCAACAGGGTAGGTTCGTGCAACGCCGAGAATTACGTCTAATAAATAATAAAAATGGGGCTCTATGGATTTATCATTAAAGAGAGATAAAATAATTTAAAAAAAAATAAAAAAATAAATTGGCTTAATTGGGGCCAACCAAACATTTCGAAACACGCATACGAATTTTCGTGAACAGGTGGTTTATCGTTTTAAGTTATTGCCACATGCGCATGCTTCACAAAAAAACGAAACCGATAAAAAAGTTGAGGTCTAGTACTTTTTCAGTTAGATTACTTAATAAGTGGAACAGTAGTCCGGTAACCTGGTAATCTAACCAGATTAGTTCTTCACCTAAAGAAGCCATTTTTGCGCAGATGGAACTTTTGTAACTTAAACGCAGTGTATATATATAATCTTTTGTGTTATGTGGAGTTACAATAATATTTAAAGGTTTCATCAAGGGTTTTTATATTTAAATCAAATTTCTAAACAAGTGTAAAAGGAAAATATGGTTTCGAATCATTTTTCCCTTCCATGCAACCAAACGTGATCCACAGCTGACAAGACCATCTACAATGGTTTGACCACTTAACAGTTTCTTACACAGAATGTGATAGTGAAAAAGTGTCGTTAATTTTACCCATAAAAACCCATGCTATATAAAGAAATGCTTTACGTTACTAAAATTCAATAGTGGTGATGTAACCTGCACATGCAAGTCCGTTATCAGCATTAAAAAAAAATTGAATAAGCCGAAATTCACTATCTATACTACATGTGTATATTATGTTCCGAGCCACCTATCACCTTCCACCTCGTTTCTGGGGTCGCACGCTGATCACACCATCGAAGTGTGCCCGATTCATTATAACAATTATTATTTCATCGTAATTACTTTATCGACTTATGCTAATCACTATTTTTACACTCCATCGGGGTTATCGCCATCTGCGACCCCGAACTACAAACATTTGCCCAACAGAACACATCATCATCTCGCCTGATGTCGCTTTATCATCCATTGGGCCCGATAAACGTGGATAAGAAGCGCGGCCAATGTGATGGCACTGGCAGTGTTGGAGGGGGTGGTTTGTGTGGCCCTGGTGGTGGCTACCAACACAACTATTAATTCGGACGATGCGCGATTTCATTATCAGTCATTGTTCTGTAAGTTGAAGAGATTTAACTACAAAACAGTTTTCGAAAGTGTTATAAAAATCTTGTGCGCTAATTATATCCGTCAATAATATACTGTTATAATAATGGTTGCGGTTTCTGGAAGCCTGGTGAGCATGATAGTGGCGGCTACATGGACGGGACTGTATTTGTCAACCCATGCCAATAAGGATGGTACCGATGATGGTAACGCTAGTATCAAAAGTCCCATGAAGACCTTTGATACGATTTCTCCTAATTCGATCTCCCATTATCCAAGAAGCATTTACGATGACAACAATAAAAACCGTGTGATTTGGTCTGGTGAGGCTTACGACTATAATTCTGACGAATTCAAGGACAATAATGACCGGATGGCGTATACAGACGAAAGCAAAACTTTGAAGACAAGTCAACCCGCCCATCGCGATTCGACCATCAACATTGTCTTGCTTAAAAGTTCGTCAAGGGATCGCAGAGAAGATGCCAATAGTGGTGTCTAACATTACCATGAATTTATATAATTTATCCCATATTGGGACATACTATTTCCGATCTGCGAGTTATTCTGCTTATTTTTGTAAAGCATGGTACTCTACGTGGTGTGTACAATTTTTTTTATTACTGTTTTTCTAAGAAAACTAGTGAATTTGTGAGTAAGAGTAAGGTTAGTTAATATCAGAATGAATGATATATAAATTGCTCTAAATATATGCAAATATTACTTTTATAAAAATATATTTTGTTATACCCATAACCATTATGGCTAAATACGCCTATCAATTTATTTTTTTTAAAGACTGTAATTATTTTTCTACATTTTTGTACCAAAATATAAAAAATTAAACTGTATATAATTTGTATTTATTATCTATTGAACGTTTTTAACATCTAAGAATATCCCACAATACCATAACAATAGTTAAAAACTTCGTTGCATACGAGATTTGAAGTAATTCAGTTTTTAAAAGTATAACTAGAACATCCCATATCCTTAACTCTCCTGTTAACTCCTCTTTTTGCCTCTGACTTGTGCTTCATGTCTGAGGTGTCCTACCAATCTATCTCGCCTATTTCTTATTGACTTCCATAGAGTCCTCCGTTCTCCTATGCATTTTAAAACGTCTTTATTTCTAATCTTCTCTATCCACGGTATCCTCATCATCCGCCTATAACA